TGTGGGTCAACTCCCTGGCTGGGAATCGAATTCACGCTGCAGTGGCTGGTGATAGCTTCATAATGTTGAGATTTAACTCCTTGCACCACCAGGGAAACCCAGGAAACTTTCTGTTTGCACATCTGAAAAATGCTTTTATTTTGCACTCAAATGTGACAGATAAATTGGCTGGGTATAGAATTCTAAGTATAATCCTTCAGCAATTTGAAGATCAGTATTGCTGATGAGAAATCTAATGGCGCTGATTCTTCTTTTTTTACTTTATTTTTTTTAAAGATTTATTTATTTGTGTATACAGAACTGGGGTACAGGCCAGAGGCTCAGGGGCGGCGAGAGGCTTCACCAGAGACAGAGTGGGGAGCAGAATAGGCAGATCGATGAAGTACACTGCTGAGGGGAGCAGTGGGCGGGCCGGTCAGGAGAGGTCTGCCATGCCATGTGGGTCACCTCTGGGGCAGGCAGGAATCAAACTCATGCGGAAGTGCCTTAGCTTCTCAGTGCTGCGCTTCAACCCACTGCGCCACCAGGGAGGACCCGATTCTTCTTTTTTTAACAGCTACATCTTTTTTCTTTCAGGAGTCTACATAGCTTCTCTTTTTGGTATTCTGAAACTTTATAATGATGTAGTCAGATTGGGTCTCTACCTTTTTGGCTTGCTAGATCTTTGAGAGATTCTCTCACCTTGAGGAGTATGCCCATATGCCCCAAGGTAAAATGAGTAGCTCACTGCTGATTTGTTTTACCTTTGGCATTCAGAAGGCAGACAGTAGTGTTAGTTATCAGAATACAGATCCTTTTGTTAATTCACCTCTTTCCAGCCTTACTGATCACTCTGTAGTTATTAAATTCTGAGTCCGAACACATTACAGCTAGTTTCCTTCTCTGATTTACAGGTCTTCTATTTATATTTAAATTGCAGCTTTCTGGGCCTTCCTGGTGGCACAAGGGGTTGGGTCGCAGCACTATGAAGCTAATCACAGCCACTGCAGCATGAGTTCTGTCCCCAGCCAGGGAGCTGACTCACAGGGTGCTGCAGACCTCTCCTGTCTTGCCCACTGTGCCCCTCAGCAGTATATTTCAGTCAATCTGCCTGTTCTGCAGCCCTCCTCTGTCTCTGATAAATCCTCTCACCCTGCTCCCCTTACCCCCCACCCCGCACCTCTGGCCTGTACCCCAGTTCTTTTTTTTAAAGATTTATTTATGCATACAAAACTGGGGTACAGGCCAGAGGTGCAGGGGCAGTGAGGAATCACCAGAGACAGAGTGGGGAGCAGAGCAGACAGATCAACGAAGTGCACTGCTGAGGGGAGCAGTGGGCAGGTCAGGAGAGGTCTGCTGCACCATGTGGGTCAGCTCCAGGACGGGGATCAAACTCATGCGGAAGTGGCTTTAGCTTCTTAGTGCTGTGCTTTAACCCGCTGCGCCACCAGGGAGGGCCCCTGTACCCCAGTTCTTAAAAAAATTGCACCTTTCCCTGCCCTACCTCTTCAGTCAACTCTCATCTGTCTGTTCCCTTCAGTCAACTCTTTGTAGAAACCTCTGGCCCAGCAGTGACATCAAGGCTGTAATTTTCATATCGTGGGAGCGAATCTTTTCTTTTACGATAATTCCCTTGGGGGGTCTCAAGAGGAACAATATGTCAGATGTTTGTATTTGCTGCCCCGTCCCATTCACCCTCCACCTTTTTCTACTTATGTCTTTGTTTAGCTGCACTGTGCACGCCCTTGCCCATCGCCTTCTGGTTTTATCCAGCCAGTGGGAGCCCCAGCAGAAGGTTAGGGGGAAGAGAAGTGAAGCCATGGGATTTATCCCTGTTGCTGCTCCCTCTGAGGTTACCCCAGGCTGACTGAGCCCCTTGCTTAAGTCCTCAGCTCTTGGCAGATGTTGGGTTTATGCAGGCCCCACCCCTGACTAGTAGCCTTGCCGCTTCCGGCCACAGTGGCAAAGGAGCCCGGTCTTTTAGCCCAAGGGTACCATTCATCCTCAGCAGTTCCACTATACCCTGCCCACATCTTTGTAAATAAATGCTTGATGAAACGCCCTTCGATTTATCTCATTGGAGTGTGCTTTCGTTTCTAAATGGGACTCTGGCTGGTGCAGAGAGAACATAAATCATCTCTGCCTGGTCTACTATATTGTGTCATAGACTCTTAGACAGTTGTTAAAGCACGTAACTTCTCCATGTAGACTGTTTTATGTTTGTTTTTCAACCTAAGACTTCTAGATTCCAATCCTCTGTTGCCATGCGGGTTCACTGTTGGAGGATCCTGTAATTTCCCAATAATTCCCAAGTATTCATTGGTCATAGCAGTTACTGGGGAGCAGTCTTCCTGTATGACATATTAGAGTCAGCTCTGACTGGACTAAATTATCCAGGGATACGCTTGAGTCTGTTAATACACTTGAAACTTTTTCTTAAGTTTATTTATTTATGCATACAGAATTGGGGTACAGGCCAGAGGGCAGGGACAGTGAAAGGATTCACCAGAGACAGAATGGGGGGGCAGGACAGGCAGATCCACAAAGTACACTGCTGAGGAGAGCAGTGGACAAGACAGGAGTGGTCTGCTGCACCATATGGGTGACCTCCCAGGCTTGGGATTGAACTGGCCCTGAAGTGGCTGCAAGCTGTGACTAGTTTCCCAGTGCTGTGATTTAACACCATTGCTCTACCAGGGAGGGCTCCTATACTTGAAACTTTTGAGCTCACAGCTTAGATGCCTGCCTGTGGGTGGCCCTACCTTACTACTGACCATTGTCCAAGCAGGCTGTTTTTGGGTGCGTCATGACAAAGTCAGCTCTTGAATTGTGTCTCTTTCAGTCACATGGAGGCCAGAATTCCTTTGTGGACCCATCTGCCTCTTACTCCAAAATGATGTCCTAATGACAGAGCCCGTATCCTCGCTCGGTGTATGTTGCCAACAGTCAGACCAGAGGCTGTCCATAGAGGGAAAGAAATATCATTGGTGCATTGAAGGAAGCTGTCCTTGGAGAGCTGTAAAACCACTGTCCCAGTTGAATATCTCTTCTACTCACCCCCATCCAGTTTTGCTCCATAAATAAATGACTAGAGGCCTCTGAAACCTCTATGAAGAGTATTCATCTTTGTCCTGAGACCCCTGTGGAAAAGATATGGAGCTTCTCTTTATTTCCTTTAAATCAAAATAAATTGAATTCTCAATTCCCACGTGACTGGGTTGGAGGGAAATTTGATCCCATTTATCTGGGAGAATGGGAATAAAATGTTCTTCCCAGGGCCTCAGAAGGACCTGGGAGGCTTCTGTGCCTGCACATTGTGGGAGGAGACTCATCTTCAGTCTCTCAGTCACCCCAATAGCTTCATGTTTGAGCCACCTTGAGGATAGTTGCTCTGATGCTTCATGAGCTTGGCTCTGGGATCACAGCGAGTGTCAGGAGTGTCCCAGAATGTGGGCACTTGTGTGAGAGTGTTTGCATCGTCCCTCCCTGTCAGGTTGTATCCTGTCTCAGTGAAAAGACACTGAACATCACTAATCACCAGGGAAACACAAGTCAAACTCACAATGAGATATCAACTCACATTTGTCAGAATGATTATCATCAAAAAAAAAAAATACTGGAAATGACAAGAGTTAGCAAGAACATGGAGAAAGAGGGAATCAATATGCACAGTTGGAAAGTCGCTATAGAAACAGAAAGTTTCTCAGAAAACTGAAAATAGAGCTTCCGACGGCCTAGCAATCCCACTTCTGGGTTTTTATCCAATAAAAATACTAACTCTAAAAGACAACTGGACCCCCATTATTTCCAACAGCCAAGACATGGAAATGACCTAAATAGCCATGGATGTATGATAATAAGAAAGAATAAAGTATGTGTGTATCAATCTGTATATTGCAGTGGAATATTATTTGGCCATTAAAAAGAAGGAAACCCTGCTATTGACAATAAGAAATATGGAAACTTGGGGCATAATTCTAAGTTAAATATGTACCTGACAAATACTGTATTAGCTCTCTTGTATGTGGAACCTTGAAAAATAAAGAACTTGTAGATACAAAGAACAGATCGGAAGTTGCCTGTGGCAATAATGGGGGTGAGGGAGATTGAAAAAGCTGAAGGGGAAAAAGGTACAAATCTCCAGTTATAAATTAAGAAAGCCCTGAGTATGTACCATCCAGCATGGTGACTATGGTTAATACTGTATGGAATATTTGAAAGCTGCTAAGAAAATAGCATTTTTATAACAACAACAAAAACCTTCTGTAACTAAGTGTGATGATGAAGGTTAACGAGATTTATGGTAGTGATCATTTTGCAACATATACATATATCAAATAATTGTGTCATACCTAAGTAACTATTATATGGCTGTTCCACCTAACTTCTTTTAAAGGAAAAAAATGTCTGAACCAATGTGGAGGGGGAGAGCCCAGAAGACTTACACTGAACTTCACAAAAGAGGATATCCAGCAGCTGATAAACAAATGAAAAAGCCACCAGTACCACTAGTCATCAAGGAAATGCAAATTAAAACCACAATTGAGTCCCACTACAAATCACCACTCCCAAAACCTGTGTGGTGCAACCACTTTGAAAACTAGCAGGATTTACAAAAACTAAACATAATCCGTTTCCAACCTGTGGCCTCACCAATCCACTGGTGGCTGTTCACCCAGCACAGATGGGTGCTATATCTGCAAAAAGACATGTAGAAGAATATTCCTTAGAGTATAATTCCTGATCATCAAAAGCCGGAACAACCCAAATGTCCATCGGTCATAGAATGGAAATGTCACTGTGTTCTGTTCAGACAGTGAAATATACTGAGTAGTCAATGGGATGGAATATTATAGCTGTGAGAAAGGAAAACACTGCTCCAGGCCGGCTTGTGGATAAATATCACAACTAGAATGTTGACCAAAATAAGCTCCAGCCACAAAACATTTGCCCTGTATGTTTCTGTTTTGGTGAAGTTCATCAACAGGCAAAATTAACCCATGTTTATTTTTTTTTGGCAGTGGGAGCTCAAGCACACCTAGCAGGAGACCAGAAATGATCCACGTGGTGGCTAAGGAGGTAGATACACCTGTGTATGTTCACTGCCCTCTACACTGGGTTTATGCAGTTTAGGTCTGGAAGTTGTGTCAACGTAAAAGAAAATGAAAGCGTCTGTTTCTGCATATAATTATTCAGTGCTGCTGGTATGTATGCCTCTTTCTGGGCTAAATCTGCATACTTTTGATGTCTAGAACTTTCACTAGATTTGATGTCTACAAACAAGTCCACCTCTCCTTTCTTTCTTTTTTAAATTTACCTATTTTTTGCATATAAGAACTGGGGTACAGGCCAAAGATGAAGGGGTGAGAGGATTCACCAGAGACAGAGTGGGGAGCAGAACAGGCAGATCTACTGAAATGCACTGCTGAGGGGAGCAGTGAGCGGGGCAGGAGAGGTCTGCCGCGCCATGTGGGTCAGTCCCTGGCCGGGGTTTGAACTCTTGCTGCCCTCATAGTGCTGCACTTTAACCCATTGCGGCCACCAGGGAGGGCCCCCCCATCTCCTTTCAAAATTTTCTTGCATCTGTGTGCCTCCAGAGCTTTCTTCCCCTGGAATTTTACTTGGGATTCTGCCATATTTGTGGAGGTCACGTAGAGCTGTCTAATACTGATGCTTTCCATCCATTTAAATAGTACATTTGTCAGGAATTTGCCATCAAATGCTAAGTATTCTTTGTGTACAGCTTGAACATTTTTTGGCCAGTAGTTACATGAGATAACTAAAATAATTATGGTTTCTACTGCTATTGTGTAAGAATGAGCCCTTTACATTCTCTAACAAGTACTGATAAAGACTTGGTAAAAACAAAAACAAAAACCTGACCACCCTGTGGAATTCCTTCATTCGTGTTTGTAGTTTTTTATTTGATTATTTTAATTTCTAGATTGTGTGTAAAGCATTAAAATCTTTTTTGCCTAAGAATCCAACTTTGGTTTCATTTTCTTACTGTGTTTTCCTGGAAACAGATAAAGTTGGAGTGTGTTGTGAAATTCCAAGCAACTTTGCGGACAATAAGATGCAGCCTGGTTTGAACATTTCACCTGCACAGGGAGGCACCATGACCTTGATTTCCTTTTCTGGCGTGCCAGTCCCTGTGGAACCTGGAAACAGTGCCTGGAGTTGTTACTGGAGATACTGTTGGCTGGAGGACATGAGGTTTTTAAATCAGGTCAGCTGCACACCTGCCCGGCACACCTGTCCACTTGCACCTGAGCCATGTACTGGGTGAACACAGGTTCCCATGGCTAGAACATTCTGCCTCTGCCCGGCTTAGGTGGCTCCTATGTCCATTCAGATAGTCCAGTGGAAAATGAAGGCATAAGATGGGGGGTAGATTATCCCCTCTGGAGCAGATGCTGGTTAAAGTAAAACCCAACTCATATTGAGAGGAGAAACTTACAAGTGGCCCGTGAGAGGGACCTGGTCGGAACCCCAGCTACAGCGGGTCTGCAGGGACAGCTGGGTGTCAGAGGGGAGCCATGCAGAATGGACCTGGGAACTCCACACTTGTGATGGGATTGCCACCTGATAAAATGAGAGGGTCTGCCCAGGGGCGTCAACACCCAAACCTTATATGGAAAGATGTTTGCGAAAGTGTATGGTGCTGTCTGGTGGCCAGCAGCCCCAGGGACTCTGGTCACATTTTAGTATGGTCGGGCTCACCAGCAGAATGTTAAAGCCAGCTCTTCCTGTGTGGACAGTCGCCATCCCCATCTGACAAAAGCTATAAACTGAGTACTTGAGTCTGTACAAGGCTGCGCTGGAGCCTGACATGTGTCCTCTGCTGCCATCTAGTGAAAAATAGCAGAAATGTAAGAATTTTGTAAAGGGAAAGCCCAGAGGGGGGGTTTTGTAAGCAGAAATGTATTGTTTGAAAGGACTGCATTGTAACTTCAGACTGGGTAAGACCTTAATTTATGCATAGTATGTGGAGGCTGTCTTTTCTAAAAAGGTTAAAATTTTTTAAATATTTATTTCATGTATTTAGGCATGCAAGAACTGAGGTGTAGACCAGAGGTGTGATGTGGGGAGGAGGGGGTTGTATAAGGACTCACCAGAGACAGAGTGGGGAACAGAACAGGCAGATCTACTGAAACCCTGCTGAGGGGAGCAGCAGGTGGGACAGGAGAGGTCTGCTGCGCCATGTGGGTCAGCTGGCGGGAATCAAACTCGTGCTGTTGTAGCTGCAGACATTCTCATAGTGTTGTGCTTTAAGCCACTGCACCACCAGGGAGGGCCCACAACTGTACTCAAATAAAATTTATGTATGAGCTTTTGATAAAAACAGGTAGAAGGCCCAGATCTGGCTTCTGAGCCAGAGTTTGCCCACCCACCAACCACCAGAAGTACATGCCCAAGAAGCCTCAAGCCCGTCTCCTGGGCTGTGATGGCCTCTTTCCCCTGTGTCTACGTGAGGTGTCACAAACTGTCCCTGGGGGATATGTTTCTTTAGGCTCGAGTGTCACCAATAGCTGGCTGTTTTAAAAATTTGAATACACAGATGGCGCCTTCACAGTGTGTAATGTTGAGGGTGGGAAGAGGGGGGCATGGTTGGGGCTGGCTCTCCCCATGTTCTGCTTCTCCATGTTCTGCTGTGGGGCTCCAAGAAGTCCGAGAACTCTACACTTGAATCTGATGAATCTGGTCAGTTTTAGGGTAAATTTATACAGGGGGGAGGAAATAATCTATTGTGTTTAACTGGTCATATCTCAAGTTGTACCTTTTCAACACTGGATATATTTAGGTGGTTTTCTTTTAGACTTTGTCCCTGCCACATAAGGCCAGGGGCAACCTGTGTAAACGCGATAGCCTCAGCCAGGCCCAAGTGGTCTCTACAGGATTCACTGGCTGAGGGAGCAGGGAGCTGACTCCCATCTCCACATGGCCCCCACCAGGAGTGAGGAGCAAGCTGGGGCCAAGCCCCCCCTTCCCCATTCCCACAGACTCAGTTCAGCCATAAGCCTCAGGCTTGGTGCTCAGCCTCTAGGCCACAAGCACAGGCCCTAAACAGGCAAGAACTTTATGCTCTCTGCCTCTTCCCATGAAATGTCTTTTCCCCTATTTTCCAGATTAAAGGATTATCTTAAAAATGCACTTCAATGTATACATTCTCTCCCATAATTCTGTGTGTCTGTAATTTTTTTGTGACATAGAAATGCCACTGTCTCTGTTCCACACCTTCAAATTAACATTCTCAGTTCACAACAGTAAATCTTCCCAGAGGGGACTTTCCAGAAAAACAAGCTATTTCCTCAGCAGCTATTTTCCTCTTTTTTTTTTTCCCTCTTTTTGCAGCATGTACTTGCAGTATATCTAAGACGTGTTTGTTGGGGAGAGAGGAAGCTTCACCAGCAAGCTCAAGGCTGCTCACAATCATAAGGGCAAGCACAAAGGGAGAGATCAGTGAATCAGGGAAAACTCCTGGAACAGTGTGGTAATAACTCTTCATCACACTCTGGTACCTAGGCAGTGACGAGGTAGGCCCATGAGTTACAGAGCCACAAAGAAATACTGTCACCTGGAGTGGCCTGGGCATTAAGGCTCAGTGCTATAGTCCTAATGGCCTGAATTTGAGCCCCAACCCAGGAGCTGACATTGTAAAGTGGGTGGTACCCCCTCAGCAGTGTGTTTCAGTTGATCTCCCTGTCCTGCTCCCCACTCTGTCTCTGGTATGTCCTCTCACCCCTGACACCTCTGTCCTACACCCCAGTTCTTATATACAAAAAAAAAGTTCTCCCTTAATTGTACACCCTAATTTAGGCACCAACTTGTTTTACCCTAGACTCTGCTTAGTACCTTAGAAAGAGTTGCTCACAGAGGATGCCGATGCAGGAATAAGTCATTTGAAATTGTCTCCCGGCCTGGTTACTGAAACCTCCTGACCTCTACCATTCCTCTGCATTTGGGCTGACAGCAGGCCATGAAATCATTGGAATTTCATTTTGTGGCTCATCTTGTGGCTCCCTACAAAGATGAAGTCTCTTCTCTCTGAAAACTTTCCATTTGCATATACACTTCATATAAAAAGTACAAGAGTATTTATGAAGCTCTATATAGATTCTTTTTTGAATCATGGACATGTGGATTAATGTACTTTATTAAACTGGGGAAATTTTGAATCACTAGTCTTTGAAATAGTTTTTCTAGAGTATCAGTGGTGAATTCCAAGAGGATGCCACACAGCAACCTTGCAAGATGTTGCTAAGACCATGCCTGCTGGGATTGCAACTCAGGATTGTTCCCTAGTGTTCCCTAGCTCCCAGAATAATGCTAAATTCCAGAAGACCCAAAGAAATGAAAAGACATTCCATGCTCAAGAAAATAAAGAAGTAGCTTTGTTAAAATACCCATATTGCCTCAAGCAGTTTATAGATTCATACAATCCTTCAAAAAATTCCCATGGCATTCTTCATGAAAATAGAACCAAAACCACTAAAATATGTATGGAACTGTAAAAGACCTCAAACAACCAAAGCAATCAAAAGGAAAAAGGGCAAAAATAGGGTTGTGTTCCCTAGCTTCAAACTATACTACAAAGCTGTTGTACTCAAAATAGTATGTTAAGCAAATAAAAACAGACACATATCTCAATGGTACAGAAATAAACCCATGTATATAACAATTAATTTGTGACAAAAGTGCCAAGAACACACATCTTTACTCTCAGCAACTGTCTGGACAATGGAGGCGGTTCATAGCTGGAACAGGCACCACCCTCTTTACAGTGTATACAGCCAGCGCCTCAGCTCTTCATGGAGGAAACAAAGCAACTCAGGAATACAAAAGAATTTAAAGATAGATTGTTATGTATTTGTCCCATAGATAATATCTAAAATGGATAATCAAGAACTAGTACTGTAAGTGTATCTTTTAAAGACAAAGATAACTACCAGGAGAAGCAGCTGAAAGAGTTAAGAATGGTTGCCTTCATAGAACCACAGCTGCAGAGGTAGACTGGGAATAATTGTATTATAGTTCCTTCTGCATGATTTGATGGTTTAACCTTATGTGAGGATTAGTAGGACTTTGATTTTTTTTTTCCAGAGAAAATGACTAGAAGGTTTTTTTTTTTTTTCCCTCATATAGCAGTGTTTCATTCTGGAATTTTCCAATTAAGCTTTTGGCTAAACACATACATATGATAATGATTATTATTCAGGAATCAGGAGATTTGTAAAATCGTTGTGTGCCATTAGAGCAATCAAGCTCAGCTCTAACACATCTTGGCTTTTCAGGATAATTAGACCACACTGGAGGCCCAGATGGGGTGAATGAAAAGCCATGGGTGTCTGCCATAGAGTAACAAGAAAACATCACGCAGAACTACTCAACTGGCAATTGAAATTTGCATGTTAACTTAGCACACAAGAAATGAATAAAAATACTTGGGTTTGTGGCAAAACATTTCAATTTTAAAAGCCAAACAGAGAACATAGGTGCAGTAATGAGCATCCTATGCAACTCGTTTAAAACCCGCCTGTTTTATGATGTAAAAATAAACTTTTGTAATAATTAAATAAAAAAAAGCCGCCTGTTTTAAAATAGAAACTTTAAAAATAGATAGCTTCCTTCTATAGCGTTTATGTTTAAAAAGGTCACTTCCTATCATGAGCACCTTTGTTGTCCTTTCACAAAACACCGAAAAGTCATTGATCTAATCATTCAGCTGCCAAAGATGCTTTGCATGTCTTCTCTGCGCAAACCCAGAGTTAGTGCTAAGAATGCAATGTTGCGGGGCCCTCCCTAGTGGCGCAACGAGTTAGGACTCAGCACTGCAAGCTGGCGGCAGCCGCTTCAGTCAGTGCGAATTCAATCCCTGGCCCTGGAGGTGATCCACGTGGCACAGCAGACCTCCCCTGAACCGCCCACTGCTCCTCTCAGCAGTGTTCTGCTGCCTGTTCTGCTCCCCACTCGGTCTCTGGTGAAGCCTCTCACCGCCCCTGCACCTCTGGCTTGTACCCCAGTTCTGTATGCACAAATAAATAAATCTTAAAAAGAAATGCAATGTTGCAAAGACACATGCAGCCCTGCTGTCTACACAACTTCAGACTCATGCAGAATCTGATACTCAGATAAATTTCACCACCATGTGATCTGCCCCAGCAGAGGTAGTACAGATTGACAGATTATTCTAAGAACACAGCATAGAGAACCTCCATGGTTTTGGAGGTGGGCGAGGGAAATTGACTTAGCAT